AAAATGAGCAGAACACCTGAACAGACATCTCACCAAAGAAGATACGGAGGTGGCAAATAAGGATATGAAAAGATGTTCAATATTGTATGTCATTAGGGAAATGCACATTAAGACAAAAACAAGGGGTGCCTGGCTGGCTCAGTCCATAGAGGATGTGACTCTTGATCTCAGGGTCGTAAGTTGAAGCCCCACAATGGGCATGGAGCATACTTTAAAAAAAAAAAAAAAAAAACTAACAAAAAACAACAAACAAAAAAACCAAAATACCACTACACACCCCTGTCAGAATGGCCAGAGTTCAATACACTGACAACATCAAATGCTGATGAAGACGTGGAGAAACAGGAACTCTCATTCATTGTTGGTACAGCCACTTTGAAGGACAATTTGGCAATTTCTTATAAAACTAAACGTACTCTTGCTGTAGGATTCGGCAATTGTACTTCCTGATATGTACCCAAACCAAAGGAGTTGAAAAGTTTTGTGCACAAAACACCTGCACACAGATGTTTACAGCAACTTTCTTCATAACTGCCAACACTTAGAAGCAACCAAGATGTCTTTCAGTAGGTGAATGGATACATAAACAGTGGTACCTCTGGGCAATGGGATGTTACTCAGCTCTAAAAAGAAGTGAGCTATCAAGCCACAAGGAGACATGGGAGAAATGTAAATGTATATTACCAAGTGAAAGAAGCCAATTTGAAAAGGCTATATACTGCATGATTCCAACTAACTATACAACATTTTGGAAAAGGCAAAACTGGAGACAGTAAAATGAGCAGTCTTGCCAGGGTTTCCGGGGGAGGGATGTGGGAACTTTCTGTACGCTCCGTTCAATTTTGCTGTGAATCTAAAACTGCTCTTAAAAAACAACAAAAAAAAAAAGTCTGGAATTAGATAGTGGTGATGATTGCATGGCTCTGTGAATGTACTAAAACTCACTGAACTGTACACTATAAAAAGGTGACTTTGGGGCACTTGGGTGGCTCAGTCGGTTGAGCATCCGACTTTGGCTCAGGTCATGATCTCACGGCTTGTGAGTTCGAGCCCCATATTGGGCTCTGTGCTGAGAGCTCAGAGCCTGGAGCCTGCTTCAGATTCTGCGTCTCCCTTTCTCTCTCTGCCCCTACCCCACTTGCACTCTGTCTCTCAAAAATAAATAAACATTAAAAAAAAAGTGACTTATGGCATATCCATTATATCCCAATAAAGCTGTTATTACAAAAAAATACCTACTTCATAAGGTTGTACAGATTAAAGAAAGTCAGGAGGGGGGTTCCCCTCCACTTGCTGGATGGGATGCTCCTAATTCATGAATTACTTAATAAAGCCAATTAGATCTTCAAGTTAAAAAAAAAAAAAAAAAAAAGAAGGCGGCCCTGAGGCATTTTACACATGGCTGTTATCACACTTAGCAAATACTGTTTTGGAAATGCTTGTCCCTTTCCACATTTCCCTCCAGAGCCTGCACTGCATCTTTCATATTTATATCCTCCGGCACTTAGGGAATGCTAAGTAAAGATTTAAAGAAGGAATTGGAGGTGAGAGATAAAGGAGAGATAAGGCCACTGATGACTCCAGGGCTTCTAATCTCGACAAACAGATGGACTGTGACAGACAGGGACTTCAAGATGGGAGGCAAGTTTCCTTCTATTTATTTGTATGTTGAGTAAAGTTTATTCTAGTTTAAACAAATTGTATTGAGTAGTCTGTGGAATGCCCCAGTTAAAGCATCCAAATTTTCAATGAAAAATACAGGTCTCAAACTCAAGAAAGAAGTGTAGGGTAAAGCTAGTCACAGGTTGCTAACCATAGTCTGTAGGCCAAATCCGTACTACTAATGGGATTCATTTGGCCAGAGTAATTTTTTTTTGATAGACACTATTTTTTAGAGTAGTTTTAGGTTCCTGGGAAAACTGAGTGGAAGATACGGAGAGTTCGCTTATACCCTCTGCCTGGACACACACGTACTGTCCCCCACTCTCAACATCCCCCACCAGAATGGTGTATTTGTTATGGTCAGTGAACCTACACTGACACATCATAATCACCTAAAGCCCATAGTTTACATTAGGATTCACTCTTGGCACTGAACATTCTTTGGGTTTGGAGAAATTTATAATGATATGCATTATAGTATCATGGAGAGTCGTTACAGTCCTATAAAAATCTTCTGCAATTTTTTTTTAGCATAACACTTTTTTTTAAGTTTATTTATTTATTTTGAGAGAGAAAACGCGTGTATACCACGCACGTGTGAGCAGGGGAAGGGGCAGAGAGAGAGAGACAAAAGAGAATCCCAAGCAGGCTCCACGTTGTCAGCCTGGAGTTGGACACAGGGCTTGAACTCATGAACTGTGAGATCATGACCTGAGCCAAAGTCAAGAGTCAGACGTTTAACCAACTGAGCCACACAGGCATCCCCTCTGCAATTTTGTTAATTTTATTTTACTTTATTTTTATTTTTTTAATATTTATTTATTTTTGAGAGAGAGAGAGCAAGCAGGGAGAGGCAGAGACAGAAGGGACAGAGGATCTGAAGTGGGTTCTGTGCTGACAGCAGAGAGCCCAATGTGGGGCTCGAACTCACAAACTGTAAGATCATGACTTGAGCCGAAGTCGGACGCTCAACCGATTGAGCCACCCAGGCACCCCCTCTGCCATTTAAAAAATAAGTCTAGGGGCACCTGGGTGGCTCAGTCGGTTGGGCGTCCGACTTCAGCTCAGGTCACGATCTCACGGTCCGTGGGTTCGAGCCCCGCATTGGGCTCTGGGCTGACAGCTCAGAGCCTGGACCCTGCTCCCGATTCTGTGTCTCCCTCTCTCTCTGCCCCTCCCCCGTTCATGCTCTGTCTCTCTCTGTCTCAAAAATAAATAAAAAACGTTAAAAAAAAATAAGTCTAAAGCAATTGAAACTAGGAAATTTGTCATAAGAACCAAGAATTTCAACTTCTGTCAAAAAATGAGACATCTCAGGTGCCTGTGTGGCTCAGTTGATTATGCACCTGGCTCTTGTTTTCCACTTAGCTCATGATCTCACAGTTGTGAGATCGAGTCCCACCTCAGGCTCCCAGCCGAGGGTGGAGACTGCTTAAGATTCTCTCTCCCTCTGCCCCTCCTTCACACTCTCTTTCTCTCTCTTAAGGAAAAAAAAAAAAAAAAAAAAAGATATCTGGCAACCCTAATCCCATATTCTCCAAAGACAAGTAGCTAGATTTGAATAAGGGCTATCTCCTTTGAGCAGGTGGACTCACATGTGCTCGTTCGTTTTGGTCATTTTCATTCTACCCCTTCCCCAAATTTCACTTAGGTAACTTTCCCCTTGCCTCCTTTCCTCTTCGGTAAATGGCAGTTGAAACAGGGAAATTAGGGAGTGAGGAGAGAAAGCAGCCAAGGACAGAACCTTCAGGAACACCAAGGGTTAAAGATTAAGAGGGAAAAGCAGGCATAATGGGAGGTCTTATGTTCAATGGTCTTTCCACTTCTGAGCCTTTTTCTGTGTTTCTCTAATCTTTTTTTTTTTTTAATGTTTATTTTTGAAGGCGAGAGAGAGAGAGAGAGAGAGAGAGAGAGAGAGAGACAGTGCGAGAGTGGGGGAGGGGCAGAAAGAGGGAAACACAGAATCCAAAGTGGGCTCCAGGCTCTGAGCTGTCAGCACAGAGCCTGATGAGGGGCTCAAACCCACAAGTTGTGAGATCATGACCTGAGCCAAAGTGACCGACCGACCAAGCCACCCAGGCAGCCTTAGGTTTCTCTAATCTTTTTTTTTTTTTAACGTTTATTTATTTATTTATTTATAAAATATTTATTTATTTTTGAGACAGGGAGAGACAGCATGAACGGGGGAGGGTCAGAGAGAGAGGGAGACACAGAATCTGAAACAGGCTCCAGGCTCTGAGCTGTCAGCACAGAGCCTGATGTGGGACTCGAACTCGCAGACCCCGAGATCATGACCTGAGCTGAAGTCGGATGCTTAACCGACTGAGCCACCCAGGCTCCCCAACGTTTATTTATTTTTGAGACAATGCGAGAGACAGAGCACAAGCAGCAGAGGGGCAGACAGAGGGAGACACAGAGGGAGACACAGAGGGAACCTGAAGCAGGCTCCAGGCTCTGAGCTGTCAGCCCAGAGCCCCCCACGGGGCTCGAACTCACAAACCATGAGATCATGATCTGAGTCGGAGTTGGACACTTAACGACTGAGCCACTCAGGCGCCCCAGGTTTCTCTAATCTTTAGCTTGGCTTCTTGTTGCTTTGTCAAGAATCTAATCCTGGTTGATCTTGGAGGAATTGATGAAGAATCTAACCACAGTTACCTTGTAGTTGGAACCCCTTTCCACAATTCTTTTATCCTGTTTCGTCTTTCCTAGCAGAAGGTTATTGGAAACTGGAAATTAAAAGTAGCCTTCTTCTTCCTATTCATTGTGATAAAACACTTGCACTGGATAAGAGTGAATGAGATAGCAAGTCTTGAGGTATTTTGCCAGAATACCATTTCACTGACCAGAAATATTGGAAAACCACTGCTTTGTCATATAGAGTAAAAATGACCTGGAATACTCTTTATAAGGTGCTATTGGTAGTTTTTAAATAATAATAGTAGCTAAAATATGGATAGCACTTTACAGTACTTCTTACAAACATTATTCTACAGTCCTAACCCTTGTTAGGTAAGCATCAACCTTTCCTTTGAATGGTAGTTCCATTTTAAAACTATTTGTGTTAACATCAGTTCTGGTGATTCCAGATTTTCTTACTGTATTATTGCAAAGGCCAGCAAAAAAAACGCAAGCCAACTGATGTTGTCACCAGAAAATTGAGGTTGGCCAGTACTGAAAAAAAAACAGGAAAAGCCTGTGGAAAATGCCTTGTCTTAGCGACTTTCGACTTTCGAGTGAGATGTAATAAATGCTGGCTCTGAGAACAATGAAGAATCTGGGCAATCTTAGGCGTGCTGCCGAGACAGACAATGAAATCTTCATTCACTCAATAACAATTCATTGAGGATCTATATTCAAGATACTCTGTTAGGTACTGGTATTATAAAAATTAGTCAGACTTTGCCTACCCTTGACCTTGGAGGGCCTACAGTTTAGAATCGTATAATGAAATTAAGAGATTTGTGACTTCCTGTGATTTTACTTTTCCGAGTTACTTTTTTCTCCTATTGTGGATCTTAAAAACTACAGTTTCACCTTTAATATCCCCATATGATAACCTGTCCTTTTATATGGGAACTTATAATGGTCTTAAAAGTAGATAGGATGAACAAATGTGTAAGGGTCTGTGGCTATGATATGGGGAACCTTGAAAGAGCCTATACTTTATTAGCCTCTCTACAAAATCTACCACGAAAGATTTAATGGACTCTTCAAGAAGGACCCATGGAAGAAACCCTGGAAAAGCTGAGACCCTTGGCTAACCTCTCAATAGGAAGCTCTTTGTTGGCTCTTACTCAGCTGAGATCACTACCTAAGAGTGAAGGAAAGACAATGGTAAGGACGGGGAAAGTTACTTGTGAAAAGGAAGAGGGACAGAAATCAAAGGCAATTGTCACCTTCCAGATGGGTCTTAGGTCCCCCGGAGGGCAAGTCAGTATCCTTGGAGTTATTGGTCTCCAGAGGAGGTTTTACCCTCTTGTGTTATTCTTCCAATCTCCCAATAATCAAGGGCATGTAAGGTTCTGTGGGCAGGTGAGCATGTGTGTGAGCGCAGGTGCTGAAGCTCTCAAACATCTCTTCTAATAGCCCTTCACCCCAGCGGAACAGCCCCATTGATGGTTTCCTGGGAATAGCAAGCCAACAGGAAAAGCTGGTCGAACAGCAGATACTCAAATGTTCCAGTGCCAGCCCTGGGCTCCAGGTTCTTCTCCGAAAACTCTGCACACAGAAGGAGTAGAAAACAGGAGATTGGTTCTGCCCTCTTTTTTTTTTTTTTTTTCCTCCCTCCATTTAAAAACACTGTTAATGCTCAAGTATAGCTGGCCAGAGTGTTGTAATTACTCAACAGCATCCTTGCCATATCACAGGGCGAAAATGATCTTGTGTTTTATTTTTAACAGCGACAGTATATTTCTTGAGGATCTTTTCTTCCACCATAATCACCACACATTACTCCAACAGCTGACCCTCAAGGCCTGATCCAAAGGCAGATACTTAAACTGGATTAGGCGAGAGGCTCTGGAAATGCCACCCCCCACGTCCTTCCCTTCTCCTCTTCCACTGTTCAGGATTCCTTTGAATGTCATCTGATTTCCCACACTCGCTCCCCTTGCAGACCCTCCATTCCCTCTTTGCCCAATCTACCTATCCTTCACGTTGTCTTTGTGATCGATTACATTTTGTTGTACTTCCTCTGCTTTTATTTACTTCATATTTATTCTTAAATTAACTCACGTTTTACTCTTAAGAGGAAACTTGACAAAATTGTTTTATTTAAATGTAGCGGAGGGGTGCCTGGGTGGCTCAGTCGGTTAAGCATCCAACTTCGGCTCAGATCACGATCTCACGGTTTGTGAGTTCCAGCCCTGCATTGGGCTCTGGGCTGACAGCTCAGAGCCTGGAACCTGCTTCGGATTCTGTGTCTCCCTCTCTCTGCCCCTCCTCTGCGCGAGCTCGGTCTGTCTGCCTCTCTCTCTCTGAAAAATAAATAAAAATTAAAAAAAATGTTTTAATATGAATGTAGTTGACACACAATGTTCTACTAGTTTCAGGTGTACAACATAGTGATTTGAGAAATTTCTACCTTATGCTGTGCTTACCACAGGTGTAGCTACCAGTTGTTACCAACACTGTTACAATACCATTGACTATATTCCCCGTGTTGTACCTTTCATCCCATGGTTTATTCATTTCATAATTGGAAGCCTGTATCTCTCACTCCCCTCCCCTTCCCCACCCGACCTCCCCTGGCAACCACCGGTTTGTTCTCTGGATTTATGGGTCTGTTTCTGCATTTTATTTGTTGTTATATTTGAGGTTTTTTTTGATTTTTGTTTTAGATTCAACATATGACTGAAATCAGGTGGTACTTGTGTTTCTCAGTCTGTATAGACTCAGTCTGCTTTAGTATAAAACTCACTAGGTCCATCCCTGTTGTCACAAATGGCACAATCTCATCCTTTTTTATGACTGCATAATATTTTATGTACAGAACCTGACACAGGGCTCAAACCCATGAACTGTGAGATCATGACCTGAACTGAAACCAAGAATCAGATGTTTAACTGACTGAGCCACTCAAGCGCCCCTGTATTTCTTTTTTTTTTTTTTTTAATTTTTTCAATGTTTATTTTTGAGAGACAGAGAGACAGAGCATGAGGGGGATTGGGTAGAGAGAGAGGAAGACACAAAATCTGAAGCAGGCTTCAGGCTCTGAGCTGTCAGCACAGAGCCTGATGCGGGGCTCAAACTCATGAAACGCGTGATCATGACCTGAGCCGAAGTTGGATGCTTAACCAACCGAGCCACCCAGGTGCCCCTGCCCCTGTATTTCTATTTTTAATTTTTTGAGGAAACTCTATACTGTTTTCTACAGTGGCTGTACCAATTTACATTCCTACCAACAGTGTAAGAGGGTTCCCTTTTCTCCACATCCTCACCAAGACTTGTTATTTCTTGTCTTTTTTGTTTTTAGCCATTCTGACTGGTGCAAAGTGCTATGTCATTGTGGTTTTGATTTGCATTTCCCTGATGATTAGTATTATTGAGCATCTTTTCATGTGTCTGCTGGTCATCTGTATGTCTTCTTTGGAAAAATGTCCATTCAGGTCCTCTGCCTGTTTTTTAATTGGATCATTTGGGGGTTTTTTTGGTGAGGTGTATAAGTTCTTTATAGATTTTGGATATTAAGCCCCTGTCAGATATATCATTTGTAAATATCCTCTCCCATTCAGTAAGTTGTGTTTTTGTTTTGTTGATTGTTTCCTTTACTGTGCAAAACCTTTTTATTTTGACATAGTCCTAATAGTTGAGTTTGCTTTTGTTTCGCTTGGCTCAGAAGACACATCTAGAAAAATGTTGCTATGGCCGATGTCAGAGAAATTACCGCCTATGTTCTCTCCTAGGATTTTTATGGCTTCAGGACTCACATTGAGGTCTTTAATCTATTTTGAGGTTACTTTTGTGTATGTGTTAGAAAATGGTCCAGGGACGCCTGCGTGGCTCAGTTGGTTAAGAAGCCGACCCTTGAGTTCAGTTCAGGTCATGATCTCATAGTTCATAAGTTCAAGCCTCATTTCAGGCTCTGAGCTGAGGGCACAGAGCCTGCTTGGGATTCTCTCTCCCTCTTTCTCTCTCTACCCCTCTCTCTCTCATTGATGCATGTGCTCTTTCTCTCTCTCAAAATAAATAACTAAACATTAAAAAAAAAAAAAAAAGAAAGAAAAGAAAGAAAGAAAAAAGAAAGTTACCCAGTTCAGGGCGCCTGGGTGGCTCAGTCGGTTGAGTGTTTGCCTCCTGATTTCCACTCAGGTCATGATCCCAGGGTTGTGGGATCAAGCCCTGTGTCCATCTCTGCGCTGAGTGTGGAGCCTGCATCCTTCTCTCTCTTCCTCTGCCCCTGTCCCCTGCTTGTGCTCTCTCTGTCACTCAAAAATGAAAAAAAAAAATAAAAAGGAAATAGTCCAGCTTCATTCTTTTACTTGTAGCTGTCCAATTCTTCCCGCACCGTTTATTGAAGAGATTGTTTTCTCCTCATTGTATATTCTTGCCTTCTTTGTCACAGATTAAATGACCATATAATCGTAGGTTTATTTCTGGGCTCTCTATTCTGTTCTATTGTTCTATGCATCTATTTTTTTGTGCCAGTATCATACTATTTTGATTACAGTTTTGCAGTATGTCTTGAAATCTGGAATTGTGATACCTCCAGCTTTGTTCTTCTTTCTCAAGATTGCTTTGGCTATTCAGGGTCTTTGTGGTTCTGTACAACTTTTAGTATTATTTGTTCTGGTTCTGTGAAAAATCCTGTTGGTATTTTGGTAGGGATTACATTGAATCTGTAAATTGCTTTGGGTAGTATGGACATTGTAACAATATTAATTCTTCTTTTCTTAAAAAATGTTATTTATTTTTGAGAGAGAGAGCAAGCAAGCAGGGAAGGGGAGAGAGAGAAGGAGACAGAATCCTAAGCAGGCTCCATGCTGTCAGCACAGAGTTCGATGTGCGGCTGGAACTCATGAACCATAAAATCATGAGCCAGGATCAAGAGTCGGACATTTAGCCAACCAAGCCAACCAGGCGCCCCAACAATATTAATTCTTCTAATCCATGAGCATGGGATATCTTTTTATATGTTTTGTGTCATCTTCAATTTTTTCATTGATGTTTTATAGTTTTTAGCATACCAGTCACTCATCACTTTGGTTAAGTTTATTCCTAGATTCCTAGATAAATCTAGATTCCTAGATTTATTCTTTTTTTTTTAAATATTTATTCTTTTTGGTGCAATTGTAAATGGTATTGTTTTCTTTTTTTTAATGTTTATTTCTTTTTGTGAGAGAGAGAGAGGGGGCAAGATGGAGCGTGAGTCGCGGAGGGGCAGAGAGAGAGGGAGACACAGAATGGGAAGCAGGCTCCAGGCTCCGAGCTGTCAGCACAGAGCCCGAAGCAGGGCTTAAACTTAAAAGCTGTGAGATCATGACCTGAGCTGAATTTGGACCGCTTAGCTGTCTGAGCCACCCAGGTGCCCCGGTATTGTTTTCTTAATTTCTTTTTTTTTTTTTTAAGATTTTATTTTATTATTATTATTTAAAAAAAAAACCACTTGCATCTTATTTATTTTAAAATGTTTTTATTTATTTTTGAGAGAGAGAGAGTGCAAGCAAGGGAGGGGCAGAGGGTAGGGGAGACAAGAGGATCTGAAGCTGGTTTTGTGCTGACAGCAGAGAGCCTAATGCAGGTCTCAAACTCACAAACCATGAGATCATGACCTGAGCCGAAGTCGGACACTTAACTGACTGAGCCACCTAGGCACCCTTTAAAGATTTTATTTTTAAGCAATCTCTACACCCAATGTGGGGCTTGAACCCATAACCCTTGGATCAAGGGTCGCACACTTCACTGACTGAGCCAGCCAGGTGCCCCGTTTTCTGAATTTCCAAGAGGAAACTTTTGGAAACAACATAGATGTCCATTGAGGGATGAATGGATCAAGAAAATGTATATATATACAATGGAATATTATCCAGCCATTAAAAAAGAAGGAAATCCTGCATTTTGTGACAACACGGATAGACTTTGAGGGCATTATGCTAAGTGAGATAAGTCAGACAAAGAATACAAATACTATATGATTTCACTTATATGTAGACTCTAAACAAACAAACAAACAAACAAACAAACATACATACATACATACACACACACAAACCAAAAGAATAAAAGCTCATAGATACAGAGAACAGGTTGGTGGTTGCTAGAGGCAGGGGGAGGGTGGTGGGTGAATTAGGCGAAGGGGTCGAAAGGTATAAACTTCCGGTAATAAATAAGTCCTGGGGATATAATGTACAGCGTGGTGACTGCAGTGAATCATACTGTATTTTATATTTGAAAGTTGCTAAGAGAGTAAATCTTAAAAGTTTTCAAAATGAGAAAAAAAATTGTAACTATGTACAGTGATGAGTGTTAACTAGCTTTATTGTGGGATCATTTCACAATATATACAAGTGTCAAATCATTATATTGTTACACCTGAAACTAATATAATATTTTTTGTCAATTATATCTTGATTAAAAATGCCCAAGTCTGCAACTTACTCTCAGCTGCTTCAGCAATAAAATACGTGTACGTGTGTGTGTATGTGAACAAAAGAGGAAACTTGATTACACAAGTGAGAAAACAGCGTAACTTGTCTATTGCGTTATCATAATAAAATGATAATGTTCTAGATGGTTACTTGGACCTACACTCTCCTTATTAAGAAAGGTTAAATACAGTCCTAGAGGAGTTAAAGCCTGGTAAGCGCCAAAGTGAGACTTTTCCCTTGAGACAGAGGGATTACAAGAACTTGAAATGAGACTTTATTACCATATCATGTAACTTTAGCTGATGCCCTGCCATATACCACCTGGAAGCATTGCATGAGTCAGGAGGCTAATGCCTCCTATTTACATATATAGATGTTACCTAGAGAAGTTATGCTTGAATCTAGGAGGTTTCTGTAAGAACTAATAAGATAACAAAGGTGAAAATACCATGGGTAGTATGGCACATAATAACATCTCAATGACACCAGCTGAATGTTTATGTGCAAACCATAAACTGCTATGTAAATTAACTTATTATTAACCTAGCATGTTGGTTGATCAGATGATAGTCCCAATAGAGCAGGGCAGGTCAATCTTGAAGAGAAAAGGAAGTGGCCCTGATTGACTCAGGAAATCCCGAGGAAACTAGAAGTGTATTTGAAGTGTCAAAAAGGAGGAAAATAGGAAGCCCAGGAGGGATCACATGAAGCACCCCCATTAGTTTAG